TGCCTCACCACTGGGTTCCCAAGCTGAATCCCAACATTCACACATTTCTGTACGTGGCTGAGTGCTGCGACAGCTCCTACGGCAGCAGTGAAGACTCCGACCAAGAGGTTGTCTGAAAGAGAAAATTGAGTTCAGACCAATAATACAATGTTATCTTATACAAGTGTTTATGTCGAAAACAACAAAGTTTGACGTAGACCTTATCCATAGAGCATCGGGAATTTGGACCTTGACCCGAGTGACTGTAGTCCTTGTTGGTCTCTGGCTGCCGAGGACGCCGTCCTCCGGTTGGTCCTCTGGTCCGCTACTGTTGTACATCGTCCTCGCTCCATCCTCACCCACAAGACGCTTTCTACCATTCACGATAAAATCCAACTATCATACCCCGTTCAAAATCACCTTCCCCATGAATCGCAGTCGCAAATTATCATGGCGTCCGTTTGTTTGTGGTGTGGCGTTTTCTTCTTCTTTTCTGCTTAAGCCAACCTAGAAGTCTGCATTAAGGAACATTACTGCCACCTACTGCGCCGAGGGTACAATTTACCTGGTTCCACATTTAAATTCAGTTTTAAACAAGATTTGATTGTATTTCATTATTGATATATTATATATCCAATATATATACCCCATAGCAAAGTGGACCGTTTAAATAGCACAATGTAATTAATTAATTCCATTAATATTAAGCAAAATACAAGATAAATTTGCTTAACTTTTAAGGACCGTGTCCTCAACGACTTCAATACTTTCTGCATCTGCTGCCACATAGTGAAGTATCTTTTATCATACTTCTGTGAAGAGAAATAAATAACAGTTTTTTAGATGAATTATGTGAGGCTAAATAACCATAGCTATGCTTGATGATCATCCAGGTACCTTCCAGGTACAGTTAACTTCAGTGCGTCTCCAGAGAGGAATCGCATCTATGTGAGGTGAATAGTACTAGGTGAAAAAAAAAAAACCCGGTGTTAATTGAGATGAAAGAGACAAAGCGTCACTGGAGAAGGAAATCACACGTTTTTTTTTTATTGGAAAGTGACAGAGAGAATGTTCTCATTCACATCATTTTCACAAGATTGAATAATCAAGTTGGAGGTGACAATGACTCACAACGACAAACTGAAGCATATGCAATTCTCTCCTATCTGATTCCTACTCTTTTCTTTGCCGATTAAAAATGTCACAGATGCCGAGACGAGACAAGAGAAACGAGTTGAAATCCCACGTTACACACCGAACTGAAATGCCTGAGAAACATCAGGTAAGGACCGCCTGCTGTTCTAGTCAAGACGAGTCCACGTTTACTTCCACTTCTAGGTAAGTGCTAATACAAAGAGAAATGTGATGTTGGTTGACCCACTGGTGAGGAGTCGGTGTTTACCTACAGAATGTACACCGAGCTTCCACAGTGATTTACAGCATTGAAACAAACACCTTACAATCAGAAACTACAGCGCGACGTCATGTCAAACATATTGCACGTGTGTGTATTTTACGGGGTTCAGGTTGATTTACGTTAATGTGCAGAGTCTAAAGCAGGCATGGGCAAACTACGGCCCGGGGGCCGGATGCGGTCCGCTTGTCTAATTCCTTCCCCCCTGCAGTGCCCACATTTCCCCAGTAGATTGTGTAAAAGAGGCTAAAACTATTTTAGCAGTTTGGCCCACGAGTCAAAAACGTTTGCCCACGCCTGGTCTAATGAAACATCACTGAACACTGACTGATGTTTGAGAAAACAATCACTACAGCAACAAACGCTGAAGACATCGATGAGCACAATTATTGCTTCTGTTTTCCAGAATGAACTAAAGCCTAAGAGCATTTGCAGCTAACACACCGAGAGGCTGCGAGCATCAGCTCACGTCTGAGTAACGTCGGAGGACAGGAACGGTCAACGAAGTCACTCGAGGGGTTCACGGAATACAACGGCACAGAGCTGGCAACGAGCTGACGAGGCGAGTGCAAGGGGACAGATAACACACACACGGCGGCGACCTCCGCTGAGTATTTCATGCGGCGTAATTGTAATTACGTTGAACGCATCTCATTCACGGACTCCGAGAGGATTCGAGGAACGACGTGAGTGAAGTGGTTTACCGGGTTATTGCTCTGCTCTGTTGGACGCCGCGCACTGACGGAGCAGGTGAGTAAAACAAAAAAAAAAAAGTAACTCTACTGTACACATGAAATAAGGCAGAGTTACAGGAGTAGTATCCAAACTACGTAGGGAGTAAAAGCAGCAAATGGTAACAGGCAGAGTATCTTAAGTAAAATCCTTCAAACATCTTAGGACAAGGGGGCTGGGAGCGATATGTTTGGCTAAATACTTCAGACTATTTTCACAGAACCCAACGGGTTTTTTTTTTTCTTCACCAGAGCTCCACCTTGGAAAGTTGGCCGTATGTACTGCGACAGACTCGTGAACGACAGACCTTCAACACAGGACACAACTCATCTATTTACACGTCATTTATATCATATACTACAACGCTTACCGGCATTATCTACACGCGAGAGCCTCCGTTTGGCGT